GATACTGTCATGTATTTGTATGCAGATTCATTGAAAAGGTAAGATAGAGGGGCCCTAATAAATCGATTTATTGCAAGGGCATACCCTCAAAATATCTTTTCAAGATTTTACACATAATCTCAAGAAGCATTAAGATATTTGAAAAGTGCTGCGAACCTCTTGAAATCTCGCATATAAATTAATTATAGCTATATTTAATGTAGTTGACCAGCAAAATATTCAACCTGCCGTCCAACAAATTAAATTTTACCAATTAAAAAAGGGAATCTATATAGGTTCGCAGCACTTTTCACAAACTACATATAGTGTTGAAAAGGATTATAAAATAAACTAAGATTTTTAACTTGGTTATGCCCTTGCAATATTGAAATTTATAGATGACCTCTAAACTGCAGCTATAATTGCCCAAGTCATGTGACGTCGACATCACATGACAAGTCTTAATAAAAAATCTAAATTTCCCCAACATGTAGATTTAAACCACATTAACTTTTTTTGATATCAGTGAATTCCTAACAAGAATCGCCCATCCTAATAAAGTATGTATTTTTTATCTTTAAAAATCGCCGATTTCCATTTGTAACCTTAACTGTGCTGCGTAGTTTTGACCTAACTAAGTTGCGATGACAAGCTGGATGCTTTGACGTGTTTTCATTTTGCTCGGTAGGTCGCTATATAAGGTAATCTTACTTTTATTGCAGACCAGAGGACCGGGCTGCTCTATACATATAAGTTTTAGTGTTGGTATATGGGGATTGGGGTGGGAAAAGTTATTCAGAATTAAAGGTTTTCTGAACAATGAAAAGACTGTTAAACAGAATGTTCTTTCACTTTATAAATTACGAGATACATAATATATTTACTTCCATAAAGTGAATCTGTAAAAATATATATGGTTTCCATATTTAATATATAAAGTTGTTTATCATTTACTATAAAAAATTACAGGTCCTTTTTTTAGAACATCGAATTTTACTTCTGGCATAAAACGTACTCTGCACAGTTCGTGTTTTATATTCTAAAATTGAAAATTAAATACATATTTAGATATAGGTTATGCATGTGCCTTACTTCAATTTATATTTTATGCAGCCAAAGTTTACTCTAGGAATTGAAGTTTAAAATTGTATCGTTTTTGTTTCACATTTATCCGAGCATAAGTTTTCCAAATATTCGAGACTATCGTTTCCATCAATTAGACGCATGCCTTTTCACACACATCGAAAGGTTTGATGATCAAGAGTCATTTCCATTGTTTACTTTATATATTTCCCGGGCGACAATTGGTGGTTACATCAATGATTTCTTGTTTTGATACATTTAAGATTACCATATTTTGCATCATGACATTTTGCGTCTAGAAATAGCACACAGTCACAGATATTTTGTCAAAAATAAGAAAAAGATATTTACCATTTTTATTACATTTTTACATCAATAATTTTTTCCATATTTTTCTTTGTTATAATTGTGGTGTCATTTGTTTTGATTTTATCATTTTTTTACGAGTATCTTAGGTACGAGTTAATGTGAAGGGGTTTTTTGGTAGTCTTTTGTTTTTCATGCAGGCTTTTCGTTTTTGGCGCCGACCTGTACGTTTATACCTTCTCTTCTTTTGGTTCCCCACGGTGTAAGTATCTACATCTTTTATATAACTATGTTTTTTATGATACTGTTGCATATGCAGTTCAATTCTATCCATTATTACCAAATATTTACATGTCATTTACTTTGTGATGAGTCGTTCGGAATTTATGCATACTACATGTGACTTGTCAATGTGTGAACTTGATCATGATTAACTCATTATGACAATTAATTGTACTATCGTTAAAGTAATTACACTTGAATGTTATCTGAATTAATATCTTAGATTTACTTGTTTACTATGGTTTAAAGTAAGTGTCATAATTGTCTTTAATTCGGAGGAGTGTGTTCCTTTTATGTTTTGTCATAAACTTTTGGGATGAAATCTGTTAAATATTCTGGATATAATTTCCATTATTATTTGAGATAGTATGTTTTGTGATTGGATATTTCTTTGATTGTGAATTTATGATTGTTTATTTTTTGTAGTGTTTTACTGCATTTCATCTGAAATAAAAGGGTTAGCTATCTGCGAAAGAATTCGTCCTTTCTATGGCAGAATAATAATAAAAGTTTAAAATAAAAATCTATGTTATATTTGTGTGGACTGGTTCCTTGTCTTACTTGTTGTTACATTGAGAACAGGCGCCATTGTTTATATTTCAGCGAGGCTGTGCAAGCTTTATAAAGATTGAGACTAGATTTAGTTTGTAGATTCTATAGTTTTTCATAATGAACGTGTTGTTAATTGGACATAGTTTCATAAGTCGGTCTTGACGTGCCTTCGGACACAAAACAGATTAAAAGGCGAACTTTGGCCTGAGGTTTAGCCAATGTGTCGTATATTACTATGGAGTTAGCGAGGAAACATTACGGAGGCTGAAGGGAGAGTAATATAAACTTTGTAAATGGATTAAAGACTTTTCAGCCTAGTATTATAATAGTGCAAATTGGTGGTAGAAATCATTATCCTCTCACGAAGGACTCGAGAGATAATGTAACTGGCTTGTTGGGGGTTAGTTTTTCTTTGTGTGCATAGCAAGATAGTGATTATTCACATGGTAATCGAAATATGTTGCTGCTTATATGCAATAATGATGTAATGCAACTGAATGGCGACTGAGTCGGGTGAACAAATAATGTCTTTTAATTTTAAGATAATTTGGAAAATAGTTAAGGTATTAATCTAAAATTATTAACATTTTTCTAGCTTTAACATTGGTTCTTTTACATTTTTGTTGTTTTATGTTCCTTAAAACTTGTTTTAGCATAAACTTCACAGTTTTATAAATTTTTTGCATCTGTCTTAGAACTTTTCGAATGACTCTGGTATTTAGCCTGTCATTAATCATTTGCAAAATTATTATGTGAAATAAATTCTGGTTGTTTATACAAAGACTGAAGTGGATTTTCAAAGCATTATTGAGTCTCGTAGGGACAATACTTCCAGTTTTTGGAGATCGACCTGGCCCAAGGATCACGAAGCATCTTAAGCTTAAGTCAAAATTTTCATGTTGTACTTAAATTTTGTTGAAGTCAAGCAGATGAAAATTAAAACACGTTTCAATATTGATTCACTGAATGCAAATATTTTAAATTTTGAGATTGATTTAATAGTTAATAAACATTTTACAGGTGATTGAAAATTTGACTTCAGTCTGAGTCTGTTTCATGATCTTGGGGCCTGGTCCTCAAATTATACGTTAGAATCCCAATGGGTATACCGATTGCATAACGTTATTAGCAGACCTATTGCTGTATTCACTTTATGTGATTTAATTAAAAAGAAATATACATGAAAAGAAAACAAAAACAATTGTCAAAGCCATTTGATTTATCGATGATTTACTGCCAGTGAACAATAAATAGCTATTTCTTAAATAGCCTTGTGGCAACGCACTTTGAAAAAATTTTTCCAAGTGCGTTAAAATTGGGACAAAATCAACGCACTTTGAAAAAAATTCTCAAAGTGCGTTAAATTTGGGACCACCTCAACGCACTTTGAAAAAAAAAATTTCAAAGTGCGTTAAGAGTCTACTTCAAATTACTTACCATGGACACATTTTAACGCACTTTGAAAAAAAAAAAACTTATTTTAGTAATGGAAAGATTTTATTTGTTATTTTTCTTTTAATAAACTAACCCTAATCCTAAACTCAAAAACAGAACTGATTTACTCACGTCGGAAAGAGGAGATGACGGGTATAAGATCCCTCAGTCTAAATCTTTATCTTTCCAATACATAGGTGTCGGTAACAAACGGGGGAGGGGAGCAATAAACCCCAAAAGGGTAAGCTGCATTTTCAATGCTTATACAATGTATATATCTTTCCAAAATAATGGGGGATTAGCCCCACCCCTCCCCTGGCCATTCGCCCGGTCTCGATTTCTATGCTATACTCAAAACATTTATATAATTATGTACTTACCTAACTGGTATGACGTTGAATACTTTCAATATTACATGAGTTAATTAAAACAGATGAAAACTAGAGTACAGTAAAACGCATGAGAGAGAAAGAATTTTCATAGTTTTGAACAATCAAATTGTCCTCTTTTTATAATGATAAATGCTAAGTTGCTTAAAGCTGTCCACTGTTAGTGCCCCCTTTACACCTTTACATCTTCTTATCAAAGACTCGAATTAAAAAAAAAGAAACGAATTAATGATCTTAAACAATCGTCACTCTTTTTTTCCAAGAACCTTTTCCCTTTTATTTTATCAAAACCTCAAATATTTAAGGCGTCAATATCTCAGATCCTGAAGTGACTTTATCATAAAATAGGTATCCAACCTGGATCTGTTATTATCATACCGATTATTTGTAGGAATATTGATCAATCTTTATATTTTGTTCAAAGTGCGTTAATATGGTCGATATTAACGCACTAACGTACTATTTTACTAGAAAAAGACGTTATTAGTGAACTAACTACAAAGGCTTACATATGATAAATGTGACAACCTTTAATTTTATCGTCGCCAGCTCCCCTACTTATTTAGCAATAAACCCTTAACACCTGCATATGCGTTTAGCACCACTCTGTTGATTCTTAGTACATACTCTACATACAATCATGTCTACACCTGTATTGCATAGATTTATCCAAGTGACATATGTCAAGGATATGGGTAAGTAAGAACATCTAACCGAGGTTTGATGAGTGATAGGGAAAATCTATTCTTGGTAAACGAAAAAGGTGAAAAACTACATCATGTAACAGATATAGGAAATTTATATGCAGCACATACGGTGAACATTATAGGTGATCTTATTTACATAGACAGTGATTTTAACATAAACAATCTATCAAAAGATAACATATCAAAGTGTACAATGATAATAAACAGACAGCTATAGAAACCACTTTGTGTCTACTGCTCCCCTTCCAATGGAGATCTACTTGCTGGAATGTCAGATTACAGAAATACAAGCAAGTTGAACCGTTACAGTAACAGGGGACACCACATACAGACAATGTGGCTTCACAACATGGGTAAGAAACTGTATAGAGATCTTAGATACATTACAGAAAATCGAAATGGAGATGTAATTGTGTCTGACTGGAATGGTATTGATCATGGTACTTTACTGGTGACAGAACGTGGAGGAAGTCATCGCTTCTCCTACACAGGACATCCATCAGAATCACGATTTCAGCCGCTTGGAATCTGCACTGATGTTCTGTCACACATCCTGGTTTGTGATTGGAACGCTGCGACTGTACATATGGTTGACAAAGACGGTCACTTTCTGTCTCTGATTCAGATACATCATCAGCACAGGATAAATAACCCATGGAGCCTAAGTTATGATGACAAAACCCATCTTCTTTGGGTTGGATTAAGGACTGACAATAAAGTGTGTGAATACAGATACATAGCCAGACATGACTGTATGACAGGAAAATGTGATGAAGTAAAATATGATCATCAGATAGGTAAACGTATTTAGATTTATGTATAGTTGTATATACAGAATGTTGCCATGAATACTAATACATTAATTTTTTTCAGTACGCAACTATTTTGCAAAAACATTTTTTGTGAAGAGATTAAAATTCTTAGCCTCAAAAAATGTTAGCTTAACAAAATAAATAATAAATGTCAATCAAACTTTATCCTATCATTTGGCGGTGTTATCTTCATAATTTCATTTTAAAAAAACTATTGATTCATGGGAAAACAAATTCTATCAAAATAATTTGAATGCTATTATAGCAGTATGCAGTATTTAAATCATTCTTTATGAGGTCTGGATCTAAAAGAATTGAATAATAGAGAAACTCAAGTTCTTATAAAAGGCAAAGACGACAAAGATTAACACGTGGGTCTAGCATTCAATATAAATAAAAAAGAAGGCAGAGATACACTAAACTTTTTATTAAATGTAAATGGTTGATTGTAATAAATAAATAATGTTTGAAATAAAATGCTCTTCTTCTAAACAGTTATCAGTTATTTTTATCTTGAATTTCTACAAACGAACGTATGTTGGGTTAGGACAAATTCATCCGTTGTGGTCGGATGACTCAGATGACGAAGCATCTGTCTCATAGACTTTTGAGTCTCGACTTCATTTCCTTGTCTGTTCTTCATATCCTTCTTTTTGATGATTTGCAAATTTTATTTTCAGACTGAGCAACTTCCAAAGTGATTTAGACGTAAATGCATGGACTGTGCTTCGAAAACCAATTGCCGCAAAAAAGACAAATAACTATTTTAAGCATGAAAATTGCATAATTAGTTGTAAAAATGGTCAGTGTTTAGATTTTCCCCAGTGTTTAGATTTTCCCCTTCTGCAATCAATGTATAAAAGAAAAATGCTTTGTAGCAACCGCAAATGATACAACGCCGTTTATGATACAAATATCATTAAGTTTTGCACTACAACAAGTTGACATGGTTATCCGGTTAATGATATAATTCTTTCATTAAGCGGCGGTTTAGCATAAGCAGTTGAGAAGTAAAAAATTATTGATCAATGCAATAATTTATGCTTTGAATTTAACTTTGAAATTTCAATTTTTTTCACGATGAATCCTCAGTAAATATACGCATCTCTCAATTAATTCTTGAACGTACACTGTATTTATCGTCCATAAAATATCTTTTCAAAATCTCCAGATTTCAAATACCACAAGATTTCTTAAATTCAACATCTTAAAAAACTTTTCATCTTTATACACATCCATTCCTCACGATGATTTAAAGTCAAGGCCGTTTGATATCATTGACGGCAGCTTTTTCAATAAAAATGAAATTCGTTGTTTTACTTACCTTGTCATTGGACACTTGCAAAGTTATTTTGTTAAAAAACGTTCTGATTGTACACAAAAGTCCTTTTAAGTTGACATCAAAAGATGCTTGAATTTCTGATTGACAATATCTATGTCGTTTTTGGACACCACATTTTTCAAAAATCTTTTGGAATTCCCATGGGTGCCAATTGCGCTCCTTTATTAGCAGACCTATTCTTTATTCATTTGAAGAAGAACTAATGCAAAATCTTCTTCGTGAAAAAAACTTTTGGTGGCCTTAAACTCGACATTTAGATTATTATATTGTCAATTATAGTAATTTCCATTTTTATGTCGATACGAAATATCCTGGTGATCTTGAAATAAAACAATCCACATCTGGATATTTTACTTGAAAAAGACGTTAATAGAATTCTAACGACCAAATTATATGATAAACGTAATGACGAACTTTTATATCGTTAACTTCCCTTTTTTTGCAGCAATATACATTGACCATATGCTTACGGAGTGTATATATCTCAGTTGATTCGAAGCACAAAGCATGCTCTTGGTATGAATAATTTCTAAAACAAGGAAATTATTGACAAGCAAGTTGATGAAATACCAGCAGTCTCCTGTGAAATAATCGTTTCGTAAGTTCTCTTGTCGATTCAATGACATTGTCAGAAAATACAATTTATTGATGCGCAGCATTCTTAAGGCCTACTATTAGAAATCAACGGAAAATAGACGTGCAAAAAAAGGGGGACTAAAAACTGAATTTATTTTTATTAATTTGTTTTATTATCACAGAACTCTTAAAAATACTACAAAGTTGTTGGTTTCTGAAGAAATTAAAGGTCTTGTCACAAGGATGACGTATGTGAAATATGAAAGTCCTAGCCCTTCTCGTTCGAAAGGTATGGCTAAGAATAAGCTTTTGAAAGATTCATGTAGGTTAAAATTCAGGCGTCATGTCAAACTGTAAAAGTTATCGGTTTCAGAAGAACGGTCTAGTCACAAGGATTATTTGAAGATGAAGGCCATAGCCCTAATCCTTCAAAAGTTATAATCAAATGTTTGCTTTTCAAAAGTAAGTCAAACTCTAAGGTTAAGGTTAAACTTCGTGGTATTTAAGATTGACTTCTCACAAAAATTACATATTTGAGGTATTAAACCCCTGCCCCCATGCCGTTATGGCTGTGGCCAAGGTTAAAGTCAATTATTATCTACCGTTCAAAAATTGTGGCCAAAAAAAAGTTTGATTTTTTATGTAAAAGTATGTACAAATCCAAGGTCCAAAGGTCAAAAGTGTTGGTCTTGTCACAGGGAATACACATGTGAAATATGAAAGTCATAGATTTCACTAAATCAAAAGTAATTGGCAAGACAAATTTGTGCAGACAAACGGATACAGTATTCAGGGAAATTTTCGTCCCCGTTTTATTTTCACCCCTTTTGTCCTCTTCTTAGGCAAATCAGAAACAGGACGAATTCAAATTACACAGCATAATTTCTTAGAAAGAACTATGACTGGGTGAGTTGAAAACGGGCAAAAGGGGCAGAAATAATACTTCATACGGTAGACATACAGACAGACAAACAAAAGGACAGACAGACAGGAAACGATAAAACCTATATGCCCTCGAATCTCTGATAACGGGGGCATAAAAAGGACATTAATGAATGAATTTAGGAAAAATGCTTATGTATGACAAAGGGAAAAATTTTGATCATAGAAACTAACATTTCGGTGACCTTTATGATATGTGCCACGAATAAAATGATAGTTAAGGACAAAATACCAAATGAGCCGTCCGATGCGAAAAAGGCCCTTATGTACTTTTGACGTCATATTGAGAAAAACGACGGTAAAGACAACGTCATAATATGCAAGTTGCAAGTGAGACATTTCCCAATTTTTTAACATGAACGTTATCATTTTTTTTTCATAATTGTGTATACGATCTAAAGCCATTCAAATATTTTTTAAAAGAATATCTGTTTTTAGCTCAGAGCTTAGTTTCACTTGGACATTTCCAATAATGAGCATAAATTTTGCTGAAAGATGATACTTTCCCCATCATACGATTTTTAATATCCCATGTTTACGTTTTGATAGAGGTATACCTGCATGTAATTCCGTATTTATCATGTACACTTCATTTTGAATGCTAAAACATCATAACCAAAGGAAAATTTTTCA